AGATCTACAACCATAGGAAGGTGATTCCTGGACCAGAAGTTTATATCTGAGAACCACTTGGCATGTGATTGCACTTTTAGAGGCCTCATTTGTACTTTTTACTCTGTGCCTGGTGGTTTTATCTTGAAACAACTTGCTTCTGGTCCTTACTGAATTTATACTTCGTATTTACATGATTGTACTATATTTTTATAATAGCCAATATGTTCCTCACTATTGACCTCTGAGGAAGGCCTATGTAGGCCGAAACGCGTCAGGTCAGATTTATCAGCCCTTGTGTTTTATCGTTTGTTATTTATACATAACGTGTGATTGGGCCCTTATATAATTTTAAAATTTGTGATTAATAAATACATGTATTTTTTATATATTTCCTTCATTAAGTTTTTAATATTGGCCCCCTTTCTTGCATTTGACTAACCTTTGTCAGGTTCTGGATTCTAAGTTTTAGGTTCAGTTTTTTCCCCCCTTCCCTTTTTTGTCCATGGATACACACCCCACACTTTCCGCAGTGAAGACAGAACAAAAAATTCATTGAGCTTCTCTGCCATCTCTCCATCTTCCTTTAGCAATCCCTGTATTCCTTTGTTGTACAAGGGCCCAACTGCTTGTCTTGGTGGTTTCCTGCTCTGGATATATTTTTTAAAAAGTTTGTCCTTTTTTGTTATTTTTTTACTGTGTGTGTGTGTGTGTCTACGTACCTGTGCCTGGAAGTCATGGTGACCTCTGGCGACTCCTACTGAGGCATGGATGTTCGGAGAAGTGGCTTTATAGCCAGCCTCTGTCCCCCCGATTCTGGTATTCTTTGGAGGTCTCCCATCCAAGTACTTGCCGGGGTGGCCCTGCTTAGCTTCCAAGATCTGACAAGATCGGGCTTGCCTGGGCTATCCATGTCAGGGCATGTTTATTATTTATCTTGATGCTTTTAGCAACCCACTCCTCAAATCTCTTTTTGCGGGCCTAATTATTTACTTACACCTATTTTGCCACAGCCTGTGGTCCCTTCTGTTCAATTCATTGGGACAGATCCCCCACTTTTAAAAAGAAGCCTCTTTGCTTTTTATAGCTTCCTTGACTTATGTTGTTAAACCATGCAGGCATTCTTTTAGGCTTGGCGGCTTCCTTTAGGGGGTAACTTCCATTGACCTGAATGCTGAACTTAATAGCATTGTGGTCTGTTCCCAATTCGTGCAACAACCTCTACATCTCTCATCAGGTCTTGAGACCTGCTCAGAATCAGCTCCAAGATCACTACTCCCCTGGTTGGCTCTGTGACCAACTGTCTCAGTACACAGTCATTTGTGACATCTAGGAATCTCAGTTCTACAGCTTGACTCAAGCACATGTTCACCCAGACAATGGGGGGGGGGTAGCTGAAGTCTCCCAGTATCAGGGGTCGTTTCATAGAAAAAGAGCTAGGGGAACTCATTAGCATAACTCATTAGCATATGCCACACCCCCTGACATC